TTCATGTTAAAATTTAATATCAACATATACGATATACAATTTAACATATACACAATGATTTTAAAAAATTCGTGCACTAAGTGTTGAAACGTTTCATTTGAAAAGAATTGAAAAATGTTGTTCACGTTAGATCCTGTTACAATAATCGCCGTTTTGGAATCACAGTGATTTCCTGTCTCTGTGAAACATCATTTTTAAAGTTGATTTTTTTTTCATCGTCTTAATGTCTCTATTGTTATCCATTTAGCTGCAATTAGTTATCGTTTCGCAGATATCCGACCTTCCCCCGAGAACCTCCAACAACGCGATCTCTACGAAAAGAGCTGCAGGGTACGGTGCAAAGGTGTCGCATATCAAAAGATCACGTTGAGGGGACAAAATACAGAAAAAAAGAAAAAGAAAAAAAAAAAAGAAAGAATATATAAAACGACGGACAAGAGAACGGAGGAAAAATGAAAACGGAGAAGTACGCAGAACCTGAACGAAAATCGACAACGAGAAACGAGAATGGCAGCAGGTAAGTGTACAAAGGACCTTCTGTTATTATTCTCCGTTTATTATTATTATTATTCGTTGAAGTATTTGAAGAAACTCGTTACGAGGAAGCTGTGATATTAAAATTGAATTTCGCCTGTTTCGAGTAAGATATGTATCTCACAGCGGCGTCTAAGGAATATTGGAATATTTAAAACATTTTACAACTTAGGACGTATTTTTTCAGTCGCCCGAGGCGACTTTTATTCTCGACTTTTAATCAATGAATTTTTCAACCGGTTCTGTGGTATTATATATTTAGTATTACTGCGATATAATCGTATCTTTGTTTTTCGAACGTCTTAATACCTGAATGTTGCATTGCCAGAATAAAGTGTCCTGTTACTAACACCAGATGATTTTTCAGTCGTTTAACAGGCGTATTTTTCTGATAATATAAATATTCAAATATGAAAAATAGATATTCAGATAATTTTTAAACAAATTGTCGTCATACCTAATTTACATAGAATGATGTAGCTTTTGTCTTTTATTCTAAACGCTCGAAGCTTTTCGAGAACCGTTTTGTGGTTCACCGCGAGATATTCTCATCGAAACACAAAGAGTTTCATCCCAAATAATTGACACGACGATCGATCATCTTAAAGTATTCCAACAACGAGCAAAAAAAAAAAAAAAAAAAAAAAAAAAGAAACTGCACTTTGCATCACGTGTATCGATATTCATCGAACAAGATACTTTCTCAAATGAAAACGACAACGTAAAACAACAAGAAGATGAAGAAGAAGAAGAACCAAGAATTAAAAGGAAAACGAATCACCAATCAATTGATCTCGAGAATCAGATAAGACAAATAAAAAGAAAGAAAGAAAGAAAGAAAGAAGAAAGAATGTGGAAGAAAATGTCAGAGACAGGTTGTACACGATCCATAGGCGATTAGCGGCAGATAATTGGCAACTGGCGGTACCAGTGGACTCAGCTTGCTACACGGTGTGTCGAGCCATCGATCACGATCGAGAGTTTACGCCCCGATCGAGATCGTCGAGCAAACACGCGCCACGAAACACCGTGTTCCGTCTCGGATTGGTCGAAATCGGACAATCGGTTAATTGGTTGCGGTTAATCTGCTGCTGAGGCCACTGTACTGGTAAGGGAGCTGTCTCAAAATGCCCCTGGAGAAGTATCGGGATTGTGAAGAAATATTTACAAATGTTACATTACGTGCTGTTATGCTGTTGACACACGGGGTTGATCTCAAAGTGGCATTACTTGGAAAGGGGTGACTTCCCGTGGGAGAGAGCAGTGAAGAAGGGCAGAGTAATATTTTCTTTAGTGCGTTCGTAGAATGATAGAGGCTGTCTTCGAGAAAGATAATTGGACCTTTTTAAACGTACACATACACTGATTACAACACTATTTTACGTATGGAAGAGCTTGAAATTTTGTTAATACTGTAACAATTAATTAATACACACGAATGTTGTAATTATAGTTATACTGATGGACATTGAAAGTAATTTGGAGATGTATATAGAAGTTGCAAGATGTTTGATACAAGTATGTATTTTATAGAAAATTCAGAGGTATTTGAATAGTATTTGTGCATTTTATTAACAAATCTCAGCACTCGTTATTGATAATTGATACACGAGTGTTGTAATTATATTGCTGGATATTGGAACTAATTTGGAGATGTATACAGACGTTGCGAGATGTTTGATACAAGTATATATTTTATAGAAAATTTAGAAGTATTTGAATAGTATTTGTGCATTTTATTAACAAATCTCAGCACTCGTTATTGATAATTGATACACGAGTGTTGTAATTATATTGCTGGATATTGGAACTAATTTGGAGATGTATACAGACGTTGCGAGATGTTTGATACATGTATATATTTTATAGAAAATTTAGAAGTATTTGAATAGTATTTGAATAGTTTGTGCATTTTATTAAAAAATCTCAGCACTCGTTACTGATAATTAATACACGAGTGTTGTAATTATATTGCTGGATAATGAAACTAATTTGAAGATGTATACAAACGTTGCGAGATGTTTGATACAAGTATATATTTTATAGAAAATTTAGAAGTATTTGAATAGTATTTGTACATTTTATTAACAAATCTCAGCACTCGTTATTGATAATTAATACAAGAGTGTTGTAATTATATTGCTGGATAATGAAACTAATTTGAAGATGTATACAGACGTTGCGAGATGTTTGATACAAGTATATATTTTATAGAAAATTTAGAAGTATTTGAATAGTATTTGTGCATTTTATTAAAAAATCTCAGCATTCGTTATTGATAATTAATACACGAGTGTTGTAATTATATTACTGGATATTGGAACTAATTTGGAGATGTATATACAAGTTGCAAGATGTTTGACACAAGTATGTATTTTATAGAAAATTTAGAAGTATTTGAATAGTATTTGTATTTTATTAAAAAATCTCAGCACTCGTTATTGACAATTAATACACGAGTGTTGTAATTATATTACTGGATATTGGAACTAATTTGGAGATGTATATACAAGTTGCAAGATGTTTGACACAAGTATGTATTTTATAGAAATTGAATATTCGAATGTTGCACCAATAGATCTCATTTAAAAATTATTACATGCTTCTACGCAGTGATATTAATTTTTCATTAAATAATCTCTCAACGTTTGTACACACTTCCAGATTCCTCTCTCAAAATTTTGCCAATATATAATTGAAGACACTCGTGTTTTGTTTCACACAATAGACACGATATACACGTCCAAATATTTCTGTAATGAATGTCCAAATACTTTCGCGAGCCACTATTACGCAGACAATTGTTTTTGCACTTAATTAGAATTAAACACGGAGAAGAGGAAGGCGAATTAACTTGTTTAATTACAGAGACGAGCGAACTGTTTAATCAGAATGGAAGAGCGAATTAAGTTACATAATCATAGAGAGTCTCAAAAATTCATAATCGTCACAAAGAATTTTCAAAATTCTATTTAAATTAACCCCCTTCCCCCCCCCCCCTGGTTGGAAAGAATCGCGAATATCTTTGCAATTACCTTTGCCCGGAGGAAACAAAGTTATCGAATTGTCGTTGCTCGAAGGAACAAACCAGAGGTTTACTCTGGCCTTTGAATCTTTCTCTTTCCCAGAGAAGATCACCCTCTATCCAATTCAACCGGGGTGATTACCGGGTCACCATAAAATGCGTGACTGGAGAGCAAACGGCGGCAAACGGGGTGACACGTTTTTGGCGAAGCCTGTCTCGATGGTTTCCTACACTAGACAGAGGGACAGAGGGAGCGAAAAGTAGGCGGTAGTAGAGATCCTCGTTCCTTCCAGAGGCATATTTCGTCCAACTCCCCACGGTAAATACTTTGCGGTGTCCGGCAACGAAAACGCAGATCCGTGTGTGTTTCGTGCAAGTCTCGTCGGAATTTCTGATGGATTTTCTTTTCGTCGATGGATCGAATGGCGAAGCGAGACCAATAGAGAAAAAGGAGGAGGAAGAAAAAGACTGGTGCTGTGAGAGAACGAGGGAAATGGAAAACAAAACAAAAAAAAAAAAAAACTGCGTCGAATCGATCCTCCGATACTGCCCCTTGGAGAGAAAATAATGGAAAGAAATAAGGAAATCGAAAAGGGAAACAAAGGGAGGGACCAGAATAAGGACATAGCGAGCAGATTGCATACAGTTACATAAATGACAAGGGAGATTAAAAGAAATTGGAAACTTTTTATAAATGCAGTGTTCAATGCTAGTAATAGTTCTAATTATATTCAACCTACGAATTTGTTAATTTTCGCGCTTGAATAATTTTAATTTGAAAAGGAAATCTTCGTATTGTCGTGAGTAGAAATGTTAAATTCAAAGTCGCGTTGTTCGTTGCATTTGTTTTTTACATTACTTCGCGACGAGGCATTCTCAATGATACACGTCGGCCATAAAAGACAATAAAACACTTTTAATTCAATTCTTTCTATGTATTTACGAGTACATTGATACGATGGAAAAATATACTTCGTCCGATACACACGACACGAAGAGCGAAGATTTCTTTGGAGGAATAATTTTCACAGGAAAAAGAGATCTATTATCGACACAACGCACTGCATTCACAAAAATTCTGTCCAACTCCTCTTCTTCCCTTCCCTCGTCGGTCAACTGAATCATCAATCAGCTCGCTAAGAAAAAAGATTCATTCGGAGTGTCAATCAACGAGACAAAGAGCCGAGATACAGAGATACAGAGATACAGAGAGAGAGAGAGAGAGAGAGAGAAAGAGATCGTGATAAAAAAAAAAATAATCGAAAAAATGCAGAGGATGATGGTGTCGCACAGGGTCGCTGCGTTTTCGTCGGGGATTCGTCTTTCTCTTTTTTCTTTTTTTCCTTTTCTTTTCTGCCTTTCTTTTTCGCACACGATATCTGTAGCGGCTAGCGTAGCATAAAATGAAACCTACTTCGATCCAGAGATTTGTAAAGCCCACCTCGGCCATTTTTGACTTTGCATATTCGATTCGTATTGCTCCCCGGTCGGAGGAGAGGAGAAAGGATCCTTGGAGAGTGGCCATCGCCTGGGCCGCGTAGCGAACGTCTTGGTATTCGACAAAGGCCACTGGCGACCCTCCCTTCGTGTGCATACGAAGCCGGGAGAAACCAGGAAAACTGTGCATAAATAAGAGAAGCGTACAATACGTGCTCTAGTTAGTTATGACAGACGGTACTCTGGTCAAAAGAGAGGAGGGCCTCTATGTGTACGTATGTGTGTGTGTGTATACGTGTAATTCGTAATTTGTCTGTGTTTGGATGTTACACTGCTGGTGGTGAGAAAATTCTGGTGGAACGTTCAATGAACAGCGAAGCGAGACGATGTTTCGTTGCATGTCCCTTTCAAATTTGCATTTGCAGAGAGGTGATTATACGTATCTATATACAGGGTGTACGCGTTCAGCTTTGTCAACAGTTTTTAAGCATTTTCCGGTAGTGCAGTTAAAAGATTTAGTGCTCAATTGGGTTACACGTTCCCGTATTCTTGTCACAAAAAAGAAAAATGCTTTTCACGTAAGAAAAGTCACGGTCACCTTTTTTAAATGGCACCATATGTGTGTTATGCTGCGACTTCGAAATGACCATGAAACTCGAAAATTCTTTACAAACATAATGTGGGAAGCGACGAAAGTAAACAACTATGTATCATGGTGTAAGGTCATTTCAAAGTCACAGTATAACTACGATATCAGAAACATATGGTACCATTTTTAAAAATGTCAAGGTGTACCTCGACTTTTCTTACGTGAAAAGCATTTTTCTGAGATTTAAGAATATTTTGGGGAACGTGTAGCTCATCGAACGCTAATAGAATTTTGTCCGAAAACATTTTTTAATTGCACTGAAATTGCCGGAAATACCTGAAAACTGGTGACAAAGCGTACACGCGTACACGTACTGTACATTGTTGGTTAGAAACAAGCGAGATTAGTAAGGACTCTAGACACAGGGGTGGAATTATCGCGGTTATTATTAGCTGGTATCGATCAACCGAGCCCTTTGCCGCAGGATTTTTTTTTCACCGAGTGGCCATGGCGCGTTGATCATGGAAGAAACTAAAACCAAAACGCCATGTAACTTTCAACTTCGGCAGAAATTCACGATCCGTTGTTTCACTCTGGATGTGCAAATAGTAATCTAATTTCGCAGCGCGGTAAAATCGCGATTTTAATTTAATTTTCGACTGTATTAATTGCCAAACTTTTGCATGTAGCTTCAAACCAGTAATTGGCGGGTGTTTTGAAATTCCTGGTCTGCGATGTGATATATATATATATATATATATTATTATTATTATTTTATTTTGGAAATACAAGTTAGACGAAACATCGAAATTTAATTTCCAGCGCGTATAGACGGTCAAGTTATAGTAAATTTAATTTCGAATATATTAATGTGCAAGTATAGGAACGGCACTGAATTTAATTTCAACTGTGTGAATTATCAAATTTGAAATTTGATCCGCGATCATTTCTCAAGGAAGAAATTCATTGATAATTTTAATAAAACTAATAGTTTATTAGAACAGCGAAGATAAAGTGAAAAGAGGAACTTCTTATCGTTGTAGTCGACTAATAAAGTTCAACTTGAACATTAATAGAACAATCGATTTGCCTCGTTCTCGGCAAGATTTATATTTCTTTGTCGTGTACGTTGAAAATCGTAATGAATTCAGTAATAAATCTGTATCCATATCGATATCAATATCAATAATATTTCAATATTTATATAATTTATACATCAAATTTAACTTCAAAATTATGACAATTACGAAATACGTTCAATTTAGAACAAATTTGATTTTTACGAATTTTCAATGTTGTCAAATTTCAAAATTTCTTTTTTTAAGATAATCATTTTGAGATAAACTCGATGGAACAATTGTCTTAACGACTCGGTAATAAAAATTATTCAAAGGCAAAGTAAAGAAAGAAAAATTTGTATAATATCTATATCAATAATATTTTAATATCTATGTATGATATCATATATCAAATTTAACTTCAAAATTATGACAATTACAAAATACGTTCAATTTACAACAAATTTGATTTTCACGAATTTCCAATGTTATCAAATTTCAAAATTTCTTTTTTTGAGATAATTGTTTTGAGATAATCAAACTCGATGGAACAATTGTCTTAAAGACACGATAATAAAAGTTATTAAAAGGCAAAGTAAAGAAAAAAAAAAATCTATATATAAAGGTAAATCAAATCTATATATAAAAGTAAATCAAATCTATATATCAAAGTAAATTTCAAAATTCGCTTTAAGATAATCGTTTTGAAATAACTGAATTCGACGAAACGAGACTCAAAGACTCGATAATAAAAATTATTGCAAGGCAAAGTAAATTTCAAAATTTTTATTTACGATAATCGTTTTGAGATATAATTAAACTCGATGGAACAATTAGTCCTAAAGACTCGGTAATCAAAATTATCGAAAGGCAAAGGCGAAGAAAGTAGAAGAAAGCCTCCTTCTGATCGATCGAAATTCATCTCGAAGATTAAAGCCAATTCGACTCGTCGTTACATCGTTTCTTCGCAAGATTTAGATACGTTTGGCGTGCGCGAGGAGACTCTCCGATTTTACATTCCATTTGAGAGCCAGCGATCGGCTGGTTACAGCGCCATTAAAACGGAAGTATCGATTATATCGATTATCGTTTGACTTAACGCGGCTCTGCCAGGCACCAGGCGGTAAATTTCGATTCCTCCAATTCGAGCAATCGGCGATTGCACACTGTGTCGATTCGACACACGTTCACCCGTGTGCTTCTCTTTCTTTTCTTTTCTTCTCGCCTCTCCGATTGGAAAGGAACTCGCGAATCGTCTCGTGATTCGAGACCATTCCAACAGCACGCATGCGATTCTTCTATCAACAATCATTTGATTGTCTCGCGTTCTCGCGCACGCCATTTCGGTTTGCGCGCGTGCAGCCAAATATTTGGAAAGTGGGTTAAAGTTAAAGGCCTCGATAAACAAGAATGATAAAAATTCTTTATGAACACGTTCGTACGGTACGTATGAAATATTCATGCGATGGATACGACGTCAATTTGAGACTATAAAGTGCATTATAATTTTGCAAACGTGTGTAACGTGTCCGTTGAAAAATCAAAAGTCTACTATGTTTTTTCGATGCAGTAGTAGTGATTGTTTACTCGTAGATATTTATATTACATTAAATTTATATAGATTGATTCATACGATTTGTATAAATTTTTTTGTAGATCAAAAGCTTCATAGATAATTAAAATACTGTCTGTTCGTTGAACTGTTATTCACTTATTAAAATATATTTGCATTTATTCGTGTGATTCTTAATATCAGGAATTGAAACACGTATTTCTAGTTCCCAAAATTTTCATCCGTCACCAGTTTAAATATCACCGGAATCAAATACAAACGAACTCGAACGAAAAATTTCACTCAGACTCTCGAATCTTAAAATTTAAAACTGTCTGCGAAATTTAATACAAGATAGAAACATCATCAAGAGATAAATGCAATAAAACGATATAATTTCATGACGAATGTCAGAGATATACAGAAATATAAAATATATATCATCAAAAACTATTTATGAAACAATGATTAGAAACAAATCAGCCGAGTACCCGAATAATTATCAACGCACGTATGAAGCAAGAGTTACGAGTCTCGTCTTATCTTTTCTCGTGATGCTCGCTCGCTATTTCGTGACATGAATGTGTACCGTTCGTGTGCGTGTGTGTCTGTCTGTGTGTGTTGATCAATGCCACTAAATATGTATTTCGATACTGATAACATTGGTTTACGGGTTTACTAGCACAGGTGCGTCTTACAGCTACGAGCTACGACTTTGGTGGCAAAAAATGAATCAGCGGATGTCAGTGATAATACATTTCTTGGATGGCGGTGCTGTTAATTCGGTTTGAAGCACTTGATACGTCCAACTTGATCCCCCGATATACGTGACAAGCATATACAATCCCTTGCATATCGTTCGCTTAACACCAGAACTACCAAAAACTGGCCAAGAATGACCAACTCGTAATTTCGTAGAACGTTAGATATTTCTACGGATGCAAAAACTCGCTGGATATTTCGCAGTATTGTTCTCAGGGAGATTTAAACGGTTTAAAAAGCTTGCTGCGTCGTATTGTAAAGTTCTTCCAGTATTCTCTTTCATTCTTTTTCTCTTTCATTTCACTTTAACGCCTAAATCTTTGCCCCGATAGTTCTTGGCTAACACTGATTGTAAAATTACATTAAGAAAGATTCGAATGAACGAATCTCTGGTAATCTCCGACGTTCTACATTTCTAGTTATATATATTATTAAATTATTTAGATATAAATATATATATATATAATTAAATTATATATAGATATAAATATATATATATATATTATTATTAAATTATTTACATATAAAAATATATATATTATTAAATTATTTATGTATATAAATATATAAATATTATTAAATTATTTATATATATATATAAATATATATACATTATTAAATTATTTATATATAATTTTTTAAGTTTCAAATTTCCAGCTTCGTGGAAAAATAGTAGAATAGATGTTCGATAGATCCCGGAATTTTTCATCACGTACGTGAACCCGAAAATCAACGTTTCTTTTTCTCTTTTCTTAGTTTTAACCTTTCCGATCTTATGTCCTCTTGGTTTTATACTTTGGTGAATGGCAGTTCTAGTACATATTAACCTCTTGCGCTGGAATGACGTGCCACGCACGTCGAGAATTTTTTTGTCCCGAAATTGCAACATTTTCTCAGTTTTAAGTATATTTAAATGTAACCCAGGCAAAACAAATGATAAGTTTGTCACTTTTTAATCATTTCTTGTCCAGTGATATCGTACCGACGATTTTCAAAAGAAAAGGAAAGCGACGAATTATTGTATACGGTTCGGTCACTCGTTATGGTCCGCAATCAGTTGCCCAGCGCAAGTGGTTGGTATACAGAGTAGCAAACGAAAATCTCTCTAATTCCCACGTAACTTCGAAAGCCACGTCCGTTTCGTTGGAAATTCTGTTCGTTGACTGTCGGTTGTATCATTTTGTATTTTTATCAATTATTGCCGTGCAATTATTATATACA